CCTACAACTCTCCCCTATGGGAATGTTATAGAGACTTGATACCATTAAAACACACCTACAACTCTCCCCTATGGGAATGTTATAGAGACTTGATACCATTAAAACACACCTACAACTCTCCCCTATGGGAATGTTACAGAGACTTGATACCATTAAAACACACCTACAACTCTCCCCTATGGGAATGTTACAGAGACTTGATACCATTAAAACACACCTACAACTCTCCCCTATGGGAATGTTATAGAGACTTGATACCATTAAAACACACCTACAACTCTCCCCTATGGGAATGTTATAGAGACTTGATACCATTAAAACACACCTACAACTCTCCCCTATGATTGGGAATGTTATAGAGACTTGATACCATTAAAACACACCTACAACTCTCGCCTATGGGAATGTTATAGAGACTTGATACCATTAAAACACACCTACAACTCTCCCCTATGGGAATGTTACAGAGACTTGATACCATTAAAACACACCTACAACTCTCCCCTATGGGAATGTTATAGAGACTTGATACCATTAAAACACACCTACAACTTTCCCCTATGATTGGGAATGTTACAGAGTATCATTATAACACACCTACAACTTTCCCCTATGATTGGGAATGTTACAGAGACTTGATACCATTAAAACACACCTACAACTCTCCCCTATGGGAATGTTATAGAGACTTGATACCATTCATCAAAACACACCTACAACTCTCCCCAATGGGAATGTTACAGAGACTTGATATCATTAAAACACACCTACAACTCTCCCCTATGGGAATGTTACAGAGACTTGATACCATTAAAACACACCTACAGCTCTCCCCTATGGGAATGTTACAGAGACTTGATACCATTAAAACACACCTACAACTCTCCCCTATGGGAATGATACAGAGACTTGACACCATTAAAACACACCTACAACTCTCCCCTATGGGAATGTTATAGAGACTTGATACCATTAAAACACACCTACAACTCTCCCCTATGGGAATGATACAGAGACTTGACACCATTAAAACACACCTACAACTCTCCCCTATGGGAATGATACAGAGACTTGATACCATTAAAACACACCTACAACTCTCCCCTATGGGAATGATACAGAGACTTGATACCATTAAAACACACCTACAACTCTCGCCTATGGGAATGTTATAGAGACTTGATACCATTATAACACATCTACAACTCTCCCCTATGATTGGGAATGTTACAGAGACTTGATACCATTAAAACACACCTACAACTCTCCCCTATGGGAATGTTACAGAGACTTGATACCATTAAAACACACCTACAACTCTCCCCTATGGGAATGTTATAGAGACTTGATACCATTATAACACATCTACAACTCTCCCCTATGATTGGGAATGTTATAGAGACTTGATACCATTAAAACACACCTACAACTCTCCCCTATGATTGGGAATGTTATAGAGACTTGATACCATTAAAACACACCTACAACTCTCCCCTATGGGAATGTTACAGAGACTTGATACCATTAAAACACACCTACAACTCTCCCCTATGGGAATGATACAGAGACTTGACACCATTAAAACACACCTACAACTCTCCCCTATGATTGGGAATGATACAGAGACTTGATACCATTATAACACACCATTAAAACACACCTACAACTTTTCCCTACCCATGTATAACTGTTCACATCCATTAAGGCCTTCCTATTCTGGTTTATTTGATGTGAAACACTCATAAAAGAGATAAAAGTATTAATTATTTGTCTGAATATGTTGAAATGTTTATATTTATTGCAGGTGATTGGTCTGATAAGGTTTAGAGAAATCCTAATCTTAGTAATATTTCAACGGTATTGTTATAGGTGTCAGAACAAAAAAACACAGCTGATTGTCAGAATCCAGCATGTTTTTGGCATTGTTTTTTAATTATAAATGTGAAGTTGTGCCAAGAGGACTAAGAATGTACAAGTTTAAATCAATATTGCCCAATGTACACCACTATAGACAGCGTGTGGACGAGCCATGGGTAATCTGGCAGGATCATGCTAGTTTTATGGCAGACTATTAATGGAATTTTCTACATGCAAGCATGTGTTCAACACACCTACACTTTATACTCCAAAAAAAAATCTGTCTTTAAAAATCATATAGAATAATGAATTTTTTTTCATGATAAAATGATAAATATCTTAAAATCAATTTGTTTTATCAATGAGATAATCATATGAAGAAGACATTGACTGCAAAGCGAAAATAGAATTTTGTTGATTTATATATTTCTGTTTTTGTTGTAATTGTGTCTGTTTATTTGAAACCTCAGAATATGTGGTATTTCTGTTAATATGATATTTCTGTTTATGTCATATTTCTGTTTATGTGATAATTCTGTTAATGTAATATTTCTGTTAATTTGATATTTCTGTTTATGTAATATTTCTGTTTATGTCATATTTCTGTTTATGTAATATTTCTGTTAATGTGTTACTTCTGTTCATGTAATATTTCTGGTAATGTGATATTTCTGTTTATGTGATAATTTTGTTAATGTAATATTTCTGTTAATATGATATTTCTGTTTATGTAATATTTCTGTTAATGTAATATTTCTGTTTATGTAATATTTCTGTTCATGTGATACTTCTGTTGATGTAATATTTCTGTTAATATGATATTTCTGTTTATGCCATATTTCTGTTTATGTCATATTTCTGTTAATGTAATATTTCTCTTAATGTGATATTTCTGTTTATGTAATATTTCTCTTAATGTGATAATTCTGTTAATGTAATATTTCTGTTAATGTAATATTTCTGTTAATATGATAATTCTGTTAATGTAATATTTCTGTTAATATGATATTTCTGTTTATGCCATATTTCTGTTTATGTCATACTTCTGTTTATGTAATATTTCTGTTAATGTGATATTTCTGTTAATGTAATATTTCTGTTTATGTCATATTTCTGTTTATGTAATATTTCTGTTAATGTGATATTTCTGTTTATGTAATATTTCAGTTTATGTAATATTTCTGTTAATGTGATATTTATGATTTCTGTTTATATGATATTTCTTCTAACATGACACATCAGAATATATCTGTTTATGTGGTGTCTTTGTTTAACGTATATCCCTCAAGAGGAAATGATTCAGTGATTAATGATTAACGATTAAAGTTGAAAAACATCTTTTTTTCCTTGTAAGCAGAATCATCATCACTACTATCAATCGTCTGAAACAACTTTTACATCTGAAGATTGTTTTTGATTAAGATACAAAATGATTCATAAAAATATGTAAATGTTAGACGTGTAGATGATGACAAGGAATCCTGCAGTGTTAACTGTGTCACCAGTCACAAATAGAATTGTCTGGGCAGCTCCAAATTACAAGTCAGATGGAATGCTGTCCAGTTTCCGTGACAACCTGGCCAACCTTTCACCAACCACTTTGTCTGTGATTATTTTCTGAATAAAAAACATAAGCAACGGATAAAGAGTTAATTGTAATTCCTAAAAATAACCAAACATATCAGTATACAATGACATTATTCCAGAATTATTTTTTTTATTGAAAAAACTTTATCTATTTTCTGTTTATCCATTACAAAATTGTGTGAAAATATCATATATGAAAAATGAATTATGAGGAAGCATTATGAAATAATTTTTGCGTTATTTTCTTTTTAATAACCATTAGTAGTAGACTATGTACTGCAGTATACCTGTTTAGCTGACCATGCATATAAGGTGCATTATAAGTTACCTAACACTTGTGTACAATACATGTATAACTTGATACTTTAATGGTTAGCAGATCTGTCTCTTCCAAAAGTAATGCAATTTCTGTTTGTAATAACATTTGACATGCTAGATGTCACATGGTAATTGATTATAATGTTTCACTCCAAAATTCTACATTAGAGAAAAGAAAAACCAAACGAAACATGCATGACCATTTATGATTGAAGTAGGCAGATAATAAAATGATGCTTTAACAAAACTGTGGTGTTTTAACTTTCAGAACTCACCAGTCATCTGGCATTTCTGGTATAAAAATTCTTATGTAAATATTGTATTTGTCATCAGTTGTGTTTTTTTTTCTTCTTTTTTTTTCTCAATATTTTATTGCCCCAGAACATTTAAACATATAGACTACTGCCAGGGCTGGGACCCTGAATACAGCATCTGTGCAATTGTGTCCTCATGCAAGAGGACCGTCATTCAACTGTGAAGACATTCATTCATTCATTCACATTCATGTATTCATTTATCAGATTTTTCTATAATTAGTTTGTCATTAATTCTTTCATTCCTTCATTCATTCATTCATTCATTCATTCATTCATTCCTTCATTCATGTATTCTTTTATCAGATCTTTCTATAATTAGTTTGTCATTCATTCTTTCATTCATTCATTCATTCATTCATTCATTCATTCATTCATTCTTTCATTCCTTCATTCATGTATTCATTTATCAGATCTTTCTATAATTAGTTTGTCATTCATTCTTTCATTCATTCATTCATTCATTCATTCTTTAATTCATTCATTCATTCATTCATTCATTCATTCATTCATTCATTCATTCATTCATTCATTCATTCATTCTATAATTAGTTTGTCATTCATTCTTTCATTTTGTCATTCATTCTTTCATTCCTTCCTTCATTCATTCATTTATCAGATCTTTCTATAATTAATTTGTCATTCATTCTTTCATTCCTTCATTCATTCATTCATTCATTCATTCATTCATTTGTCAGATCTTTCTATAATTAGTTTGTCATTCATTCTTTCATTCCTTCATTCATTCATTCATCAGATCTTTCTATAATTAGTTTGTAATTCATTCATTCATTCCTTCATCAGTTGTGGTCCTTTATGTATATATTCATAGTTACAGTTTCAATACAACTCTCTTCATATATCCCTGTGGAAGTAAATGTGATCCTAGGATACTGTCTTTTAACAGTACGGAGGATGAAGAAGAAGAAGTAGATGCTGAAGCAGAGGAAGGAGATGTCGATGATATTCAAGGAGAAGAGACATTAGAGGAAGAAGAAGATGTTGAGGAAGGGGAGATGACTGATGAATCTGATGAAACACCAAAGGTAAACAAGAAATGTGGTGTTTTGTGCAGTAGCACATTAACAACAATGAAAATATACCATCATTCCCTTATTATACACATCAAATCTACATCACTAGGGTTGTTACACATCAGATCTACATCACTAGGATTGTTACACATCAAATCTACATCACTAGGGTTGTTACACATCAAATCTACATCACAAGGGTTGTTACACATCAAATCTACATCACAAGGGTTGTTATACATTACATCTACATCACTAGGGTTGTTACACATCAAATCTACATCACTAGGGTTGTTACACATCAAATCTACATCACAAGGGTTGTTATATATTACATCTACATCAATAGGGTTGTTACACATCAAATCTACATCACAAGGGTTGTTATACATTACATCTACATCACTAGGATTGTTACACATCAAATCTACATCACTAGGATTGTTACACATCAAATCTACATCACTAGGGTTGTTACACATCAAATCTACATCACAAGGGTTGTTACACATCAAATCTACATCACAAGGGTTGTTACACATTAAATCTACATCACTAGGGTTGTTACACATCAAATCTACATCACTAGGGTTGTTACACATCAAATCTACATCACAAGGGTTGTTATACATTACATCTACATCACTAGGGTTGTTACACATCAAATCTACATCACTAGGGTTGTTACACATCAAATCTACATCACAAGGTTTGTTACACATCAAATCTACATCACAAGGGTTGTTACACATTACATCTACATCACTAGGGTTGTTACACATCAATTCTACATCACAAGGGTTGTGACACATTACATCTACATCACTAGGGTTGTTACACATAAAATCTACATCACAAGGGTTGTTACACATCAAATCTACATCACTAGGGTTGTTACACATCAAATCTACATCACTAGGGTTCTTACACATTACATCTACATTACTAGGGTTGTTACACATCAAATCAACATCACTAGGGTTGTTACACATCAAATCTACATCACTAGGGTTGTTACACATCAGATCTACATCACTAGGGTTGTTACACATCAAATCTACATCACTAGGGTTGTTACACATCAGATCTACATCACTGGGGTTGTTACACATCAGATCTACATCACTAGGGTTGTTACACATCAGATCTACATCACTGGGGTTGTTACACATCAGATCTACATCACTGGGGTTGTTACACATTACATCTACATCACTAGGGTTGTATTTATTATCTAGTATATAAAGATTATGGCCCCCACCTGTAGATATATTTCCTGTGATTCTCTGGAATTTCATTTTGTTGTTAAAGAAATAGGAAGCTGATTAATGAAATATATTTTAATTGATAGTGTTTTGGTTTGAGACACTTTTTTTTTCATCTTGGTCTTGAATGAGTAGAATGGTACTGTACCATCAACATGTGTCATGATAACTCCTGAATTAGTGACAGACACATTCAGATTGAGACAATGTCAGTTCCTGACCAGAATGTAGCGTGGTCTTGCCAGGGTTCTGCCATAGATATGTCTCTCATTAGACATCAATAGCAACATGTTTATTTCATCCTAAGAGAATTTGACTTGAGGAAAGACATCAGAATTAATTAAATTTTATATCATATGTCCATAGGCCATAAGAATAGGAATCGGGAAGTTTTATTTTATCATCTCAGAATCTGACTGAGAAAAAAAAATGGAAATTAATTAAGTTTTGTATTGAAGGTGTATTGAAGTGTGTAATGGGGCATCGAAGTGAAGAGAATGTCGTTAAAAGGATCGAGTGTTCTGTGCCAAATTCCCCCAGGAAACCCCGTAATAGAGTCACTCCACAGCTATAGATTGCCCACTCGTCTGCCATAGATTTGATTTAATTGAAAATTAGCTACATAATGCATTTTTTGTTCCATATTATCAGTTTTAGTTTAAAACTTGTGAAAAGGTTAGGCAACTCTGAGCTATCAATTTGATGAAATGGTTTCGATAAAAACAATTATTGTGATTTTGTGTCCTGGATTCAATTGTTTGAGAAATAAAATGAAAATCAGAAATCAGTTTTTTTTTAGAATCTTGATTATGTTTGAGGAATGACAAAGAATAATGTTTTAAATGAAATAATCCATTGACATTAGAAAACTAATTTGTGGAATAATGATAACAGAAAAGGTAAAATGGAAAGGCTTTTTTTAGTATCAAACACTGATTATCAAACATTTCCAATTACATTGCAGCTGTACTTTCAGGCTATTGAATCAGCATGAACATAATACAACCTTTCATGTTAACACTGATATCTAACCACGTCTTCCTACCTGTGTTTAACTAGTACAGGTACTAGCTTTACTTTGGACATATTTAAATACAATGTGATTATATGTGAACAATATTTTTAGGGGTAAAAATAGACATTTTGTTTGTTTATTGTGTAAGCTCTTGACAACTTTCTGTTGTAAAGACATATAACACAGAACAGCCTATTTAACCCAAAAATTTAAAGGGGAAAATGTTTTTTCTATTTCAAACGTTTCTGTTTGGTAATTTCAATGAGTTATATCCACTAAATATTCACTAAAACTTCAGGATTACCCCTTCTTCAAAAAATATTTTAGAATGGAACACATACATGTACCAACTTTGAGGCAGCTGAATCTAATTCAACAAGATCAGATAAAACAGCAAAACGTATGTTCAAAACGTGGTACAAATGTGTGCTGATACTAAAAACTAAAAAACCAAATTGGATCAAAAGGTTTACAAGCTTATGCTTTCCATCTTGAATTCAGATTTTTTTCTTAACTCTGAAACTGCTACAGAAAGATTTTCAAATAGAAGAAAGAGATTCCTCTTTACAAGTTGAAGCAGAATTGTTAGTAGTATAAGTCTGATTGTGGAAATCACCTTTCCTTACTTTTTCACTCATTCAATATTCGCTGTCACTCTTTTTTCACACCAAATGAACAGTCATTATGATTATAATTCTTTGACTGTTAAATTGCTGATTAAGTAATGAATTGATCTTAAGACTACATGAGATATAGACGCAAAACAGTTCAAATATAGGTAATTAGGCTGTAGTTATTGATATATTATGAAACAAACTTTCTGACAAACACACATCTGTTGATTATTCTCAAACAGTTTGCTGTGAAATCAAATACTTTTAGGGGGCTCCATTTTTATGGTTTTCAAAATAAAAATGTTTAATGGACATTAGATTTCTTAAATAAATCATATTTATTTATTGTTATATCAGTTGTGGACCAGAGTATCTGGGAAAAAACCCACATGATTGGGCAGGTGTCCCCATCATTTTTTTGTCTGTTCTGGGAATCGAACCCCAGAGGTCAAGGTGAAAGGCGAGTGGTTTATTTCAGAATAGGTCAATATACATAACATACTAATATTAATGATTTCACATTTTGAGAAATATTAAAACAGGTTATTAGATACAACATATTAATAATGATGATTTCAAAGTATGAGAAATATTAGAATGGGTTATTATATAAAACGTATTTGAAATAGATACCCTAAAAGACCTGCCATTGTTGGTTATTTTAGTATATGATACAAGAAATATGAACATAGATCATTATCTAAGATATATGATACAAACGACTTTTAGATTTTACAAACAATTAAAAGGTGTCAAGTTTCCAACAGAAAATTCCAACAGAACAATGTTATTGAAATATTGGTATAATGATGATGATTAGATTTGTGACATTTGTTACAATAGTCTCCTACTGGCGATTAACTTATCACCAATAAACACATCAGTGCCAGCTATAATGCTGACAATTTTCTGTGATATTTATTGAATTTTGTTGTTGTAATCGCCTATTCATGTTACACTCAATAAATCAAAATTAAGTATTCAATGTACGATAAACATATATTGCAAGTTTTTCTTTTGACCAGTCACTACCCGATCATATATACCGCTATTATATCTGACATTTTGTTGGCTTCATGAGTTTCATTCAACCGTAAGAATAAGTCTGGTAATCACAAAGTGTTTGATTTTAATGTGAATTTCTGTGACTAAGTGTGATGGTGCTGCCTCACCCAGATGTACTTTATTTCTCAGTAGAAAACTGAGGCAGACAGCAGGATACTTCTCCATGGGTCGTCATTAACACAATGTGTGTGGAACCCAAGATCTAGGTCAATTCTTTGTCTCTCATTCAAATGAAACCTCTACAAGAAAAACAAGAAGCACTTTAAAAAATCTGATTTTCTACTTGCAGAAACAACAGTAAGACAAGAGATATTAAAATCAGTGTGTTCCTTACTATTTCAATAACAAAGAAAATACGTTGCGGTTTTTATATGGTTGGTGACAAGTTAGAATTACAGTAATGAGTCGTAACAATGAAAGGCGTAATTATCAATAGCTAATGTTTCAGAATACAAACTTAGTGTTCTGTCTCAGTTGTTAATTTACAGTTCTTTAATTTTAATCCACATTGTTCCTGTCCATTTACAAAGTTTCTGAACTCCAAATACAATACAGTTCAGGTGCACTTTTAATATTTACAAGTAAAAGAAATTGTAGATAATTAGGGGGAATGAAGTTTCAGCAAACCACTGCAGAAAGAAATATTATGTTGTCAGTTTTCTTGATTGTGTTCCAGATACAGTTCTTGGTTATTTTAAAGACAAAGAAAACCACTGAACTAGAAACAATACATTTACATGTTACAGGAGTATGTGTTACTGCAGACAGTGTCATTTCACCCTACTTCTGTAAAATGTCCCTGTCTAATATGGATTTCTGTCTATAACACTACCCTACCTCTGTAAAATGTCCCAGTCTAATATGGATATCTGTCTATAACACTACCCTACCTCTGTAAAATGTTCCCTGTCTAATATGGATATCTGTCTATAACACTACCCTACCTCTGTAAACTGTTCCCTGTCTAATATGGATTTCTGTCTATAACACTACCCTACCTCTGTAAAATGTTCCCTGTCTAATATGGATATCTGTCTATAACACTACCCTACC